CTGCAGACCCCTCCCCACGGCCTGGCACACAGCTACCTATCGGGCCAGGGCCCCAGTGGGAAGAGAGCCTGTCCCTCGAGCCCCTCTGGAGTTTCTGCCAAGCACCCCCCACAGTCCTCCTGGGGGGAGCACCCACCTGCTCCCTCTCGGGAAAGCAGTGACATGGGCCAAGGCGAGGTCACTTCCAGACTCTAGTTCTGGACACAAATGGCCCCACTTCTCGCCAGGGCCCCCAGCCGCTGCGGTCTCCCATGGCATGGCCACTCTGAATGGCAGAGGACCCTGGGTCTCCCCCAGCTCGGGCAGGTGGCCCCCTGCATGTGAGCCTGGGGTCTGCTCCCGATCCTTCCCCAGATCCTGAGGCCAGCACAGTGCAGGATCCCGTTCCCTCGCCGCTCTGCATGGGAAGTCAGGCCCGGGTCTCCACAGGCCGGCATGATCGGCAGCTGATGTGACAGGTACTCAGCACCCGGTGCCACATCCCTCGACCTCTGCTGCCCGTTTCTCTCAGGGTGTCACCCTGGTGACAGCTGCCGTGACAGAGAAGCACTTCATCTGGACAGATGCACATGCGCTCCAAGCTGACCAGCCACAGCTCAGGACTGTGACCCAGACGCCTCCCTCCAACCCAGCCTCCACCCCAAAATGCCAGGAGGCTGCCCTACAGTGGCCTGGAGTTTCAAAACAGCACTCGGGAGGTTCTGCACCCTTTAATGAGAGCCACACACCCTGGAGCCACCAAACTCGCCCCGGAGGGAAGAGAATGGACATCTCAAAACCACAGCAGCGGCGGCAGAGGGGAGGAAAGCTGTGGGCCGGCCGGGTGCTGGGCGGGCACATGCTCATTTAAGGATCAAATGCTCTCGGCATGCTGGAGGCTGACCTGAGCCTCCAGGAAAGGGACAGGCCATGGCATCCTCACCTGCAGACCCTCCCCACTCTCACAGCCTGGCCAGCCTCCGCAGGGAGGCAGCCTCCTCTGAGCCTCAGTCCAGGGTTCCCACCAGCACCCTCCACACTGCCTCTCACCCCTTCTGAGCCAGACCCGACCTGGCTCCGTCTGCTGCCTCTGGCCAGGCACCAGGCACTGACCTGGGTGTCTCAGGTGGAACACGACACCTTGCTCAGCCGAGATCTGAGCCTCCGCCTCTCTCTCTCCCAGACGCAGACTCTGAGGCCCAGAGACCCTCTGCCATCCTCCCAGGACCCCAGAGCTGGGAAGGGGCAGGCCAGGACACAACCGGGCAAGGGGCTCCCAAAGCTGACATGGACACCCGCCACCCGGCACCACTACACGGGCTCCGCAACCTGGTGTTTGGGGTCCCCCGGGAGCAGACTTCACTCACCTCCTCCCAAGTCAAATGTGAAATTCTCTCCCCGGGTTTCTGTCCCTGCACAACACACCCACTGTCTGTGTATGACACACCTGCACCTTCAAATCCCTGCCAGACCTTGCTCACGCCCCTCCTCCTGCTGGGATGCCAATCCCCATCTGCCAGAGTCCACCTACTTGTTCTTTAGGCTGGTGCCACCTCTTCCATGCAGCCTCCCCTATTTCTCCCCAGTGTCATCAGGGGAAGAAGGACACCCACCTCTCACACCTAGCGGTTCACGCCCTTCTCTCCTCCCCCGCTGGACCACTGAGCTCCACCTTGTAAAGCTCAGGGATGCAAATTAAGTGATGTCCTCTCCCTGCTAGCAGAGGCCAAATCGTGCTCCCCTTTCGCCGCCAAAAAAAACCTATATATATATATATATATATATATATATATATATATATATATACTGAAGGAAGCAGGAGAGAGAGGTGCCGTCTGCCTGGGGAACATGGACAGGGGCCAATAAACTGGTTGCAGGAAGCTCACGATCAAATCAAATGTTTCATCCAAGTTCAAGTTCAAGTCCCACAGGGAAGGAGCCCAGGGGGGGCTGTGCCTAAAGTAAGACGGATCAGCACATGATTTCCCAGAAAGAGCACTACTGGGTTACGGCACAACACATTCCCATCAGGGTACCCGGAAGCCCCACCCCAGAGGCAGAGACCAGCACTCGTAATATTTATCCACCTTCAAAAATCATGTGACCTGCGAGGGTGGCTCAGGAGACACAAGCCCTGAGCTGCCTGTGCACGGCCCGTTCTGGATACATAAACATGGAACGCAGTCGGTTTCAGTGAGACATTAATTTCACTATAGCAATTTGTTTCTACAGCTACACGTCAGGCAGAGAAGCAGTGTCTGAACTTCCAAGCGAGCCCCTTCCGCATCTCCATGGAGCCAGGAGCCCTCCACTGCCAGGAAAGCTCACATATGTTCCCAGGCTGCGAGCAGCTTGCCTCCTGCAATCCTCCAGTGAGATGCTCCCAGGTGCCCCTGTAAAGCCCCCTCGCCCAAGCTCTGTTTAATTGAAGAACCCCTGACACGGTACAGGTTCGCCCCTCTGCTGGTGTGGACCGGTCCACAGGAGTCAGTGAGCATCGGCAAAGATTTTCAGATTTTATGAAGACTCCGCTTGGAAAGCAGCCGTGAGCTTGTTCCCTTCTGGCTGTAGCTTCCAGCAGAGGTGAGAACAACTGCCAAACGCGGTCTCAGATCCTTGTCCCTGGGCTGCACGTTGAGAGGGGCAGGAGCACAGTGCATCTGAGGTGCTCCTGTGCCAAGAGAGCTGCTGCGCATGCAGCCAGCACCGAGGCCACCGCGACTTAAAGGAACCGGCGCACCCTGGGCAGCCTGGGGGCAGCCCTGTCCCCTTGCTCCACGCCCAGGTTGGCCCCTGAGGCATCCCTGCTCCCAGCCAGAAGACAGGCCTTTCTGGAGAGGACCCACCTCCCCAGGATGCCCAGGGCACATCGTGGGCGAGAGGGGAGCAGGGGCAAGGGGTGGAGCCAAATGCCCAGCCAGGGTTTCCACACTGACCCCTCTCCTGACCCCGCACACGCCCACACTCTCTCACTCTCTCTGCCTCCTGCCTCCCGGCCATCTGCGAAGGACCAGGGCTGCCCTGCTATCCACATCTACGCTTGTCCCTTGCTTCCCACTGACCAGCACGGCGCCCCAATCCCACCCCTACTCAGAACTCCTCTCCACAGCATTCACCTGCCAGCAGACAGGGTACAGCCACTCAGTCCGGCCAACGCCCTCCCTTAGGAGAACAGCCAGGGGGCTCCTCCCACCCCGGCGCCCCTGCCGGCTGGCCACCTTCCTCCTCAACTCTCCAAGGAGGCCACTGGAGGCCAGGCTCCAAGCTCAGAATAGGGTCAGGCTGGGCATCAGCCCTTCCTGAAGACAGCTGGTCCCCAGTTCCTGTGGCTCCTCTACCACCCCCTGCCTGGCTCTTCACACACACACTGAAACCAAATGATAAAGGGGCAGGAGCGAGCTTGCCGGACAGGCGACAAGCTGGCAGTCTGGGTGGGAAAGTTGGGTTGGCCAGTCCAGCTCTGCAGGTTAGCACTCACTGTTTACTTGCCCGGTTTCTGAGCTGCCTCTCAGCCCTGCCGTATGGCTCAGGGTGCGGGGCTGGCGGGAGCACCAGTGGGCAGGCGAGGGCTGAGCACAGCTGCACACCTTGACACCTGACTCAAGATACGGGGGGGAGGGTGGCCCCACGTTCTTCTAGGGAGGGGCACCTGCTATCTTCTGTAAGGCACCCCCATCAGTGGGTGGCTCCAGCTGGGCCCACTTCTTCCAGGGAAGGGAGTTAGCTCTGCCCTCTGGGGTAACTGTACCCTGGAAGCCACCAGTTTGAGGGAGAGACAGCAGGCACGGGGTCCTGGTCAGTCAAGTCCACTCAGAGCTGCGCCTTGCCCCTCCCCATCCCTTCCCCAGCACACATGGAAGCTCCTGGAAGTAGCCAGGGGTGCAGAGAGAAGAGGGGTAAAGAGCCGTCCAGCAGGTTGCAGCCTTCCTGGCCACAGAAAGCCAGTGGACAGGTGACCCCTACCCTCTCCACCCCATAGGCAGCCCTATGCTGCCTCCTCAGAACTTTGGGGAGTAACAAGAGGTGGGGAGACCTGAGCGAACAGTAATGCACGGAAACGAGGGAGACTGCCCTCCCCCTCCCCACACAATGCGCCCTACCCGGAGAACCACAGCCACCCTGCCCTTCTCCAGAACTCGTCCACTGGGGCTGCCCAGAGGTAACCACAGTGACCACCAGTCTTTCACCAAGAAAAGCAAGACTGAAGCAGCATCCCCAGAAAGAGTGAAGGGACCCCCACGACCCAGGGGTGCAGCACCAAAGAATGGCGCTGAATCGGGGAGGGCTGTTAACCACGGCTGGTGGGTGGAGGCAGAGGGGGAGGGGTGACAAACTTCCAGCTACAAAGAAAATCAATGTGGCCCCATGTGAAAGGAGGACGGGCCAGGGGGCTTGCAGATGGCCCAGACAGATCCCAAGTAGTGCTGATGCTGACCCCTGGGGATTTGAAGGTCCAGTAGCATCCACTGCCCTCAGGAGGAACCTCAGGGCAGCTAGAGGTTGCACCAGGAGAATCCAGGGAGAGGGGCAATACCAAAAGGAGAGTCCCAGAACAGCACATGCGGCTGAGCTGATCCACGGGGTAGACCACGGTGGGGGGATCCTGCAGCCAGAAATTCCTGCCCCATGCTGAGCAGAGTGGAGTGTGGGGGCCATCCAGCAACACCCAGCTGTGTGGCCCCTGGATACCTGGAGGCACCCAAGGTGGCCAGGGGTCCAGAAACCTTTAGGACCCTCCCTGGTAACCCAGGATGTAAAGGCCAGGTTGGAGCCCAGGAGGCGGCTCGGGGACCGGAACACGGGAATGCCCCTGATAGACAGAGGCTCAGGAATCTGGAGACCTTTCCCCAAGTAGCCAGTGACCAGAGGCCAGTAGGGGCGCCGCCGAGGTGACCGCGTCCCCAAGTGTCTGAGAACGCGGGGGATGACTGAGGGGTGGTCCGGAAGTGGGCGGCTGTGACAATCTCCCCAGGTGTCCCGGGCAGGGGTCGCGGGGAGGGGGAGCGCGCGAGGCCACTTACGCTGCTGTTCTCGCCCGTCCAGTGCACCATCGCCTGGTTGTGTGTCGCGTCCCCCTTGAGCACGAACGACGTGCTGATGAGCGAGACCTGCGCCCGCGAAGCCACTCCGGCCACTGGCGCCGCGCGCGCCCATCGCCCCTTGCCCAAAGCGGGGGCGCCGGGCTCACCGGGACCCGGAGCCGGACTGGGATCCGGACCCAGGGCGCCGGGCTCCGCACCGCGCGTCTGCCGGTCTTCGCGGCCGCTGTGCTCCGTGCGTCCCGCAGGCGGGCTCCGCGGCACTCGGGTCAGCTGCGCGCGGGGACCCAGGCGCCTGGGCTCGGGGGAGCGCCCGGCCGCCCCGCAAGCGGCCAGCAGCAGCAGCAGCAACAGGAACGGCCGCGAGCGCGGCCAGCGCAGCAGCGGAGGCGCCCCGCGGCTCGGGGCTCGGGCGGCGGGGCCGGGGCTCTTCGGGAAGCGCGGGGGCCCCCGGTGCGCCATGGTCGCCGAGGGGCGGCGGCGGGGCCGGCGGCGGGCGACGCGGCGAGGGATTCCGCGGCCGGGAGAGCGGGAGGGCGCCGGGGAGCGCGAGCGAGAGCGCAGAGAAAGGAGCCGGCGAGGGGAGGGAGCCGCGGGAGGAGGGGACTTGGGGCTCGCCGACGCCCGCAGCCGAGGGCGCATCGCCACCTGCCGGCCAGCTCGCGCCCGCCACGTGAGCGAGCGCGCACAGCTGTGATCTGGCCTGAGGGCCCCAGGTTCCGAGCCAGGCTTCAGCTCCTGGCCCATCCCTTTCCTCCCTCTTCCTACCCTCCGCCTGGCCTCCTTGCCTCCTCTCTCTGCCTCTTTCCTTTCTTCCTTTCTTCGGGTATTTACTGAGCACTCACTCTATCCAGCCTGGGTTCCAGGCACTGGGGGTACAGCCAGGCCTCTCAGGGAACCCCAGTCTGCAGAAGGAGACAGACCACACCCAAGCGGAAGGCTTTTGGACCAAACAATTCCAGAGAGCTGGACCAGAAAAGCCTGGAAGCCGTCCTCCTCTGGGACCCCGAGAGGCACAGGGAAGGACCGGAGGACACGGAGACCTGAGAAGGGCATGTGGGGGGATGCAAAGCCCACCCCAAGGCTTTATCTCCCACCCCCAGGGACCTGTTTGGGGGCAGCCCCTGAACAAGAGACTGGCCTGGGTGGGAGCAACTTGGAGAGGTCCCAGAGGAACTGGGAGGCCACCGTGAAGCTTGTGGAAACTGATTCAGAGTATAAAAAGTTCTCATCCTAGGTCATGTGGCTACTTCAGTTTGATATCTACAAAAGTAACCGTGGGGCACCCTTAGTGGAACCAGGCTGGCCGTGGGGACACGCAGGGCAGGAGCATCCCCAGGCAAGGCCAGGGTCCAGGTCAGGACTACACTCAGCTAGGCCAGAGCCCACCTGACCTCTGTCCTTCCCCAGAGCCCTCTGAGTTAGACCCCCAGCTGGGGACCCCATCACACCTTGTCTCCCAGTTGGGGTCTTCTTTCCAGAGAGAACGGAGCAGGGCAAAGGGGTGCAGTCTCCAACATTTGGGAAAGATAGCAAATGGGGTTCCCTGTGGCCCCCAGGGATTGACACACCAGTGCCCTCCCCAGGAGACACTATCAGTGGCACAGGCAGTGGTCACCAGGGTCCACCTGTGCCCAGCACAGGGGCCAGGGGACAGACAGGGAGCTCTGGCTCAGTGTCACGAAAGGCCTCCCTGCTTGGCACGGCCCTCTCCGCTGCGTGCAGTCAAATCAGACTCCAGGGTGCGGGAGGAGGGGCGCTGCCAACTGCAGGAAGGACTGGCCTAGAAAGCATGCAGAGAGCAGAGCAGGGTGGGTGAGGGGCTGGGGCGAGGCGCCAGGCAGGGGGGCCCAGGGAGAGGGCTTGACGGGGAGCACAGCCCAGGGGCTCAGAGAAGAGCTGCCAGATCATCCCAGCCTAGACCACCTCACCTGCCCCTGCCCAGACTTCCCCGTCTCCGCTCGCCCACTGTGAGTTGAAGAGGAGGCCCCACCACCCCTAAGCTCTTCCAGGGTCTAGTATTTTGTTTCGTTTTGTTTTAAATAACAGAAGGCCTCTAAGTATCATCTTCAAGAAACCTGTGGCAAATTATTGAGCACCTACCATGGGCAGTTTCCTGAGGGCTCAAAAAGAAGATGGGGCCCCTGCTCCTGGGGGGCTACTGCAGTTATGACATCACTGTCATGACCAGGCCGCAGAGTACATATGTACAGTTGTCCCCATTTACACATAAGGTACAGATTCAGAGCTCAGGGACCCCTCGAGGTCACCCACCCTGTATGTCAGAGGCCAGATTCTAGCCCTGGCTCTCTGACCCAGTGGCCCTCCTTGTACCACCAGCGTTGGGGTCACCAGTGTGTAGGGCTCTCAGCCCTTCGCCCCTCGGGCTCCAGTGCAAGCTGCCCAGCCAAGCGGGGAGAAAACATGCCCCCCATCCCCGCTCACACCAGGCTCGCGTCACTCAGTGACTCAGTTAGGGGCCCTCACAAGTCGGGGAGAGGGTCCAGGCCTGGAATGCAGGTAGCACGGTGCCCCACCAGGGCTCTTTCCAGAACAGTCTGTGCCCAGATGAGGCTACAGGCATTGCAAAGAACAGGGCTTGTCCCTCCTGTGTATTCAGAGCCCACAGCCATTATGACCCCCCCCCCAGGTCATTTGGCTCACAGACATTGCTGAACGTGGGGACTCTGTGATGAAGGAGATGGACAATATCCCCAGGCTCTTGGGGAGCCTTGGTCTCAGCGGGGTGGATAGATAATAAGGGAAATCAATTTTGCTACTAGTAAGTAACCAGAAGAAAAGAAGGCTGCCCTCTGAGGATCAGTGAAGGAGACAAGTGGTCAGAGAAGCCCCTACCTCCCGGTCCCTCGGAGGGGGCTGAGAACAGAGGGCCAACGGCAAGAAGGAGCTGGCCATGGGCACTTGGGAAGAGGGGGGTGGGGAGGAGCTGGTGTGCCCAGGGAGTAGCAGGCGTCCGGGACCCGATTTGTATTCACAGGCTGCTGAGAGGCGCTGGAGTGTTTTAAGTGGGGGAGTGAGAGTATTGGCATTTTTATAGCCATCGTCCTCGCTGCTGTGAGGACAGGCACAGGAAGCCACTTAGGAGGCTCTTCCTTCTCAGGTCCAGGGAGAGGCCGTGGTGGCCAGGAGCTGGCTGGCAGGGACAGAGGAGGAGAGGACGGAGGGGAACCTGCAGGACCGTTATCCCCCTTCCAGGCACCTCCTACTTCCTGAGCTCTGCCTCTCTAGTGACCCACCCCAGGGACTCGGGGACATAGGATGGGGACAGTGCCGACAGCAAAGGAGAGCTGCTGGGCCCCCTTGGCACGTGCCCAGAGGAGGAGAAAGGGGACCCAGGCCGCAGAGGCAGGGTCAGTGGTGCCCTCCCAGGTGGCCACAGGCTTGGCGGGCACCAGGGTGTGAGGGGCTGACGGAGCCCTGGTTATGAAGCCCCCTCAGGTGCCAGTCACCAAGCACCTGTGGAGGCTTGAACTCAGCATCTGGCACTTGGGGTGCACTGGACAAGTACCAGACTCCCCCAGGCTGTGGACCCTGTGGTCACGACGCTGGGGCCCTGAGATAGAGCCCAGCCCCAGTCACCCACCCTGGTCAGCTCTGCTCCCAGCTCCACACACGGGCCTCCAGGGAATCCTCCCTGGCCCTCGCTCCCCGGACCTCACAGTCTGATGGGGAGGGTCACAGGTAAACAGACAGTGACACCGGAGGAGCAGGTGGCCCAGGGAGCACCTGACAGCCCAAGGGAAGGGGAGCTGCTGTCGGACTGAGGGAGGAAGGTCACGGGAGCAGCAGTAGTTCCAGCAGCTGTGACCATGACCACAATGAGCTCCTGCTGGGCACGTGGGCCAAGCGTGTTTCTAGGGGCGGGGCTCAGTGACCTTGTGACATCTATAGAGCACAGGGACTGTTCCCCAATTTGAAGATAAAGGGGAGGAAGGCACATGGGGTTAGCAGTTGACCCTAAGGACACAGTCCTACTCCCAGGTCCTGCCTCAGACTCTTTGCCTTTCCCTATTCCAAGTGACCTCTCCTGTAAAATGGCCCTGCCCCAACCCAGTGGTCCTCAAAGTGCTGTCCCTAGACCAGCAGCACCTGCAGCATTCACAGGGACCTGGCCCCACAGACCTGCAGAGCCTGAGGTGCGGGGTTGGGATCAGAGTCCGTGTTTCCTCAGCCCGTCAGTGGTTCTGAGTTTGAGAGCCACTGTGCTAACCCTGCATTCCAGGCCCAGCTGGACATTAGAGTCACCTGGGGACTAGAAAAAGCCCAGTACCCAAGTCCTTTTCCTGACCCCAGGCTGTTGGAACTCCATTATTCAGTCATCTCCAAGCTCCCTGGGTGATTCAGAGGTGCAGGCAACTGTGAGCCCACAGCAGTGTGTGTGTGTGTGTGTGTGTGTGTGCACTTGCACACGCTAGGCAAACATCACCACTGAGTCACAGCCCCAGCCCCACGGCATAGCTTTTTATAAAGATTCAGGAAAACCAGGCACGGTTGCCTACCCCTGTAGCCCCAGCTGCTCAGGAGGATGGTGCAGGAGGTTCACAAGAACAAGTCCAGGGGCTGGGGATGTGGCTCAAGCGGTAGCGCACTCGCCTGGCATGCGTGCGGCCCGGGTTCGAGCCTCAGCACCACATACAAACAAAGATGTTGTGTCTGCCGAAAACTAAAAAATAAATATTAAAAAATTCTCTCTCTCTTAAAAAAAAAAAAAGAGCAAGTCCAGCCTGGGCAACACAGCAAGACCCCACCAACGGGGGTGGGGGTGTGGCTAGGTGGGCCAGCAAAACCCCACGCAAACCTTTTGATTTCACAATGCACTCCTGCGGGGCCCTGGCCATGCCCACCCCCAGCAGGAGGAGGGAGCAGGTCTTTCCAGCAGTCAGTCACCCACGTGTGCATTGAAAGTCCCCTGACTTTTTAAATCATGGGAGGTCTCCAGTGATGACATTTTAATTCAACTTTACAAATGAGACACAGGTCAAATTATGTCTCCCCCTCAGCAGGGTTGGCCTCAGAGACAGGTAAGGACCCCACAGGCAGGAGTGGGAGGGCCTGGCAGGCAGGAAAGTGGGGGACAGGCTGCTGGGGGACTCCACCGGAGGAGGCCACCTCTTGCCCCCTCACTGCCTCTGGCTGGAGGAGGACCTTTTCAGTTCCCACTCTTGGGACAATCTGTGGTGACTTTCAGAGAGTTTCTCCTGATGACTTTAGCAAATGACAAGGGCTAGAGGGGACGGCCTGGGCAAGAAGGATCAGGTGCCAGGATCTGGTCATCTGGTGGGGGCAGTGGGCCAGGCAGTGGGCACAGCGGGTCAGAGCCTGACTCAGGCCTGGAGCTGGAGTCTGAGGGGCCTGAGGAAAGGCATCACAGGAGAGAGGGTGCCATGGTGAGCCAGAGGTGGGACCGGCCACGCCCCCAGAGGAGGGGAGACGGGAAGTCA